CACACAAACACCCAAAAAATTCTATATAGTGGGGGGGAGGGAGTACATCCCCTTTGCAGGAGAAGTAGGTTGCTTACTCAGCTACTAAAATTGTTGGTCAAAAAAAGAGAAAGTGAGAAGGGGAGGGGTGCTGAGAAGATCCGAACTTAATTATATGCTTCGATTTGAATTACACAAAGTGGCATCTTCCTCTCGCTTCCTTTATACAACTCGAAAGAAACATGAGACAAGAAGATTCCCTGTGTGAGTAATTCAAACCTAGTTTACGGTAAGGGACGCTGAAAGCAACTTGTCCCCTGTAGGCAGAAAACTAGTCTTTGCAAGAACTGTTTGATCTTGCTTGGGAATTGGAAATGTGGCAGGTGGGGGGATGGAGAGGGAGAGAGATTTTCGTCATTTCCTCCACTGCTTGTGTAAGCTCACCCCAAACTCTGGTTTGTTTCTTAAAGAGATGAAGGCATTCAAAGGATGAAGTGGGGCGTTTGTAAGTAGCATCCTGAGAAAAGGGAGGAGGAAGTCCCATTGTCCTAAACTTTACCAGCCAGCAGTCAGAAGATCTGCCATGCTTGGTGGAAATCTGAGCTTTTGCAAACTACAAAACACTTCCTAGGTTGCAAAAACTAAATGTGCACCTCCATCAAACAGGCCAATGAGGACTGGGAACCCTCAGGGACCGTGAAATGTTGCGTGCCTGATGGAAAAGAAGAAGAGAAAGGGAATGAACTGCCTGGTTGGCTGGCAGGGCCCTAAATGTCAGCTTGTAACATGGGACCGCTCCCTATTTAATTTATTTATTGATTTTATATACCGCCCTATAGCCGGAGGTCTCTGAGGGGTTCACAGAACAAGATCAAGGCATGCGTCCCATGATTCCATCCTACGAATGGAATCTCCTCTCACGAATCATGAAAGAAAACTTTCCGTTTTGATAATGCAATCACATTTTACACATTTCTGAAATCACACTGTGGTCATATTGGGCTTTTCTAGTAAAGGTAAAGGGTAAAGGGACCCCTGACCATTAGGTCCAGTCATGGCCGACTCTGGGGTTGCAGCGCTCATCTCGCTTTATTGGCCGAGGGAGCTGGCGTACAGTTTCTGGGTCATGTGGCCAGCATGACTAAGCCGCTTCTGGCAAACCAGAGCAGCGCACGGAAACGCCGTTTACCTTCCCGCCAGAGTGGTACCTATTTATCTACTTGCACTTTGACGTGCTTTCGAACTGCTAGGTTGGCAGGAGCAGGGACCGAGCAACGGGAGCTTACCCCGTCCCGGGGATTCGAACTGCCGACCTTCTGATCGGCAAGTCCTAGGCTCTGTGGTTTAACCCACAGCGCCACCTGCGTCCCTTTTCTACGATGCCCCAAATACCTCCCCACTCTGGTTTGGCTTACATAATAGTCTGAAGAAGCAGCCTAGTTTCATACAAACAAGCAAAAGTAGGAACTGCTAAAGAGACAGCAGTCACTTTGCAATTCTTCTGGTTGTGCCAAGCGTTCCTGACATTTTTCGTTGCAAAATCATCAATCCCCCCCCCCCAAGTGCCTATTTCTCTGTCGAGGTCACAGAAAAACAAACGAACAGGTAGACAGCTTAACTATTCTTTGAAAAACTGGAGACCTGTTTAATATCTCTGTTGCATAACCTCATTGCGTTTTTGGCTGACTGATTTGTACCGATAGCTAGACATGGCAGTGCTTCTGTGTGTGCAAACCCCAAAAAGCAGCAGTGGCATTCAGTGTCCCTGGGATCAGGGCCCTTTTAGGGTGCTTTGTACCTTGCCTCTCTCCTCATGCCTTTGCACAAGTTTCTCTAGTATTAGTACTCGAGAGAACGTGTCACCTAGGGAATCACACCTCTCTGTCTCTGGAGCAACAAATCCCAGATTATCTGCACAAGCACACACTGTACGTTCCAGGAAAGGACCTGGGCTGCTGGTTCACTGTTCAGAAGTCAGAGCACGTTCTGCTCTAACACTAGCTTCCGACTCCAGCAAACCTCACAAGGTCTTTGCAATACAAATATAAACACAGGGAAGTTTCCACTGATATCTTCAAGTGCGAGCTACATTACAACCAGCTCGTTCCCCAGCCCGATGGTTTTACTCTTATTCCACATCACTCCCCCAATAATCACTCTTGGCGACTTGCAGATTGGACCTTCAGAATGACATAAATAAAAGTGGGAGAGCAGTGCAAGCTCCAGGATTTGGGGTGCACTCTGACATGCTTTTAATGTTTAATAGGTTATTGTATTTTAATGTTCTGTTGGAAGCCGCCCAGAGTGGCTGGGGAAACCCAGCCAGATGGGTGGGGTATTTAATAATAATAATAATAATAATAATAATAATAATAATAATAATAATAAAATAATTATGGTACCCTTCCCTGAACCAGGAGAGGTTAGACCAGTGGTTCCCAACCTTTTTTTGGCCATGCCTCACCTAAGCATCTCTAAAATCCTAATGCCTCCTCCCATGACATAGAATTCTTATTATTCAAAAAGTGAACTCCTATTCATGTGGAGGAAACCTAAAAGGCCATTTACTGCTAAGAACTCATTCTTGAATTGCCCCCCCATAAAAATCAAATTGCCCCCCTGTGGGGCGTCTGCCCCATGTTGGAAACCACAGGGTTAGACATAAAGGTAAAGGGACCCCTGACCGTTAGGTCCAGTCATGGCCGACTCTGGGGTTGCAGCGCTCATCTCGCTTTATTGGCCGAGGGAGCCGGCGTACAGCTCCTGGGTCATGTGGCCAGCATGACTAAGCCGCTTCTGGCGAACCAGAGCAGCACACGGAAACGCCGTTTACCTTCCTGCTGGAGCGGTACCTATTTATCTACTTGCACTTTTGACGTGCTTTCGAACTGCTAGGTTGGCAGGAGCTGCGGCCGAGCAACAGGAGCTCACCCCGTCGCGGGGATTTGAACCGCCGACCGACCTTCTGATCGGCAAGTCCTAGGCTCTGTGGTTTAACCCACAGCACCACCCTATTATTATTATTATTAAATTAAATTTATATACCGCCCTATACCCGGGGGGTCTCAGGGCAGTTTTACTAGAATGCTGGATCTAGAAAGGTAAGAGGTGGACGTTGTCTGCATAACGGCAGCATCCTTCCCTTTCAAAAATTGCAAACCAAAAGCAGAGTTGTTCATAGTAATCAGGCCTGCTTTAAATACATCAATACTTAAAAATAAAGAAGCCAGCAGTAAGAGTTTACACGTCCCTTCCCCATCTGCTGATTTTGTTTTTATTTAGTAGGATTATTTGACATCATACTGCTGGCTGCCAGATGGTACAGTATGCTTTTCAAAGTGACCAAGCGAATATTTGTTAGGATGTTCCAGCATGGCTTTTCTTTTCCCCCCAAACAGCTATCCCACCATGGTTCCAAAAATAGAGGCAACACTTTCTCCACTTGGACATATAAAAAATGTTATTTGTGGCAACTTGTTTGGTTCTAATTTTTGCCTTAAAAAAAAAAGGATATTGTGAGAAAATAATTCCTGATCTTATTTAATAATAATAATAATAATAATAATAATTTATTATTTATACCCCGCCCAGAGTATTATTTCCCCAGCCACTCTGGGCGGCTTCCAACTGAATATTAAAAACAGTACAGCATCAAACATTAAAAACTTCCCTAAAGAGGGCTGCCTTCAGATGACTTTTAAAAGTAAAAAAGTTGTTTATTGCTTTGACATCTGCTGGGAGGGCGTTCCACAGGGCAGGCGCCACTACCGAGAAGGCCCTCTGCCTGGTTCCCTGTAACCTTACTTCTCGCAATGAGGGAACCGCCAGAAGGCCCTCGGCGCTGGATCTCAGTGTCCGGGCTGAATGATGGGGGTGGAGACGCTCCTTCAGGTATACTGGGCCGAGGCCGTTTAGGGCTTTAAAGGTCAGCACCAACACTTTGAATTGTGCTCGGAAACGTACTGGGAGCCAATGCAGATCTCTCAGAACCGGTGTTATGTGGTCCCGGCGGCCACTCCCAGTCACCAGTCTAGCTGCCGCATTCTGGATTAATTGCAGTTTCCGGGTCACATTCAAAGGTAGCCCCACATAGAGCGCGTTGCAGTAGTCCAAGCGGGAGATAACTAGAGAGCTGCAATTTAGAGCTGCATTAAGGAAGCTTAATGACTTGGTCATGTCCCATGGGATTTTTTTTAAAAAAATCTCTTCCATCTTAAACAGCAGGTCCCTGTACAGTGGTACCTCGGGTTACATACGCTTCAGGTTACATACACTTCAGGTTACAGACTCTGCTAACCCAGAAATAGTGCTTCAGGTTAAGAACTTTGCTTCAGGATGAGAACAGAAATCGTGCTTCGGCGGCGCGGCGGCAGCAGGAGGCCCCATTAGACAAAGTGGTGCTTCAGGTTAAGAACAGTTTCTGGTTAAGAACGGACCTCCGGAACGAATTAAGTACTTAACCCGAGGTACCACTGTACATTTTTGATCGTCACCTTTATTTTAAAAAATGTGGTTGACATATGGAACAGGGAGCCATTGATTAAGTGCTTCACCTCTTAATTCAGCTGTAGGAGTGCAGATATTTAAGTCTGTGGCTGCTGGTAAACCTCTGAACTTTGGTTCCCTTTAAAGATTGTTTGGCCAACAAAGAATGCATATATTTCTCAATCAAAAGTCTGTTCATCAATTAAGGGTTATGTTCCCTCTCTTCTATTTTTCCTGCAATATCATGGATGTCATTTAGGTATTTTAATTCTGGACTGTACAACTGTGGCTTTCAACTGGTGAATCGTGTTTTCGAAATCTAGGTTTCAGCTATGGGGATAGTTATCTGAGGAAATTAACATAATGTATGGGATTACTACTTCTGAACCCATCTTCAACCATACAGCATTGTTGGATTCAAAATGGCCAGTTTAAAAGTCTATAAGGAACACACACAGAGAGACAAGATTTATTCTTCATTTCTTGTAAAGAAACCATTCATATTGGCCTCCAAAGAAATAGATAATAGCAGCAAGCAGAAGAAGAGATGTCATTTTATTGACAAAATATAACCATCAAACATAAACAACATCAAGAAGCTAGATGTTTGCATCATGAATTAGGCCTGAAAAGAGATTTGGGGCTGTGTACAAAACTCCAGCTCCACTTGCTCAACAGACCTCCATGCCCTTGACGGAAATTCCTTTCTCTCTCTTGTTCCCTGCAGCCTGCGTGTGGGACCCTCCAGAGCAGATTGGGAGGGGTGTACAAAGTAGGGGCAGGCGAGGAAATGGAGCTCTTTCGACAATTATAGCAGAATTGAAGCATCCCCTAACTAATATTGGCTTTACAAATTCATCCGATGTTTCGAGCTGCCTTGCAATACAGGAATTCTACAGCTGACACTGCGTGCGACACACATGACTAACCCATTGGATGTTTCTAAGCTGTTATTTTATCAGCCAAGTAAGGTAACCAACCTTCATTAACTGCCACCGTTGCATCGCTGCATTCTGGCCCATCAGTCTGTAATACTTCCTAGAAAAAGGTTTTATTACAATGTATTTATTAAATAAGGATTTATTTATTTTTCCAAAAGGAAAAAATACATGTTCCAATTTTTGCAGCCGTCTGTTCCCATTTTTGAAAGCAGCCACCCCAAGCATGGAGGCAGGGATCCCAATGAGATCTTGTGCATGTGCAAAGAGCCTTCAGGTGTGCGGGAGGAGCTGACGTACTTTTCCAACTGCAGCTCCTTGTGCAAAGTCGAATCCGGACAGGTCCCTCAAGAGGTTTTTCAGTGGGTGCAAGGAGACGTGATGGGATGGGGGGCCCCTAATTGCCAGCACACATGTGGAACACAGAAACACTTGCAAACGAAACCTAATTACGATCTTCCACAATATAAGACAGATCTAAAAGCAGACTGGCCGTCTCGACGGCGACTTGTAGGCCGTTCCTTTTCGCCGCAAAGCAGTCCAGAACGGGATTGTTGGTGGAGGTTACGGAAGAGTCACCGACGCAACTTTGCGGGGGGAAAGGACGAGAACGGCATTGCAGAATCTTCCAATCAAGACCTTGCTGAGGGCCACAAAGGCCACAGCCGCACCTCTGAACTACGTCAGACCAATTGGACCCGCTAGGAAGATCAGGTGGAACGCTCCAAAAATGTCCCCATTTCGTATCGGTGAGAACGTCGCCGCCGTCGTGCTCTAGGCAGCGAGACACAGATTCTAGCGAGCCGCAAAAGGAATCGGCCACCAACTGGAACTCTGCCCGAGAGCAGGACAAATTTTCCAAGGTGCTGCGTGTCACGGCGCAACTCTAAAATAGGAAGGGGATGGGGTTGAGAAAGCTGTTTTCTAGTATGTTATGATTAAGACACAAAACAAAGATATTCAACGTGCAGAGAAATCCTATGCGTTGTTTATTTGGAGGTAAGTCTCGCTGTATTACTCCCAGGAAACTGAGCATAGGATTACAGCCTCCGTATAGGGTTCGAGCCAGAGAAAGCAAAGCAACGACAGCATTATTTATAGAAAGCAAGTGTCTTAAATTAATATTTTGCCTGGAAAACAATGTTAATTACAATTCCACTCCTTTTATTTATTAGTAAATGTCACTGGGGTGGTTCCAGACTTAGTCATACTCAAAGTAAACCTAATGAAATCAATGGGAACTAAGTCTGTCATGACAGTTTAATGATTATTTATTCTTTCTCTTTCTGTATTATTTTAAATTTACAATTTACTCTGCGTATGATTAAGTCTGGATCCAAACTATTAAAGACCGTGTACTCAGCAGCAGGAGACTTAGGTGGTTTGCAATCTAACAAAACCACCTTCGCCATTGGGAGTGGCCACCGGGACCATATAACACCAGTCCTAAAGGTTCTTCATTGGCTCCCAGTGCGTTTCCGAGCACAATTCAAAGTGTTAGCGCTGATCTTTAAAGCCCTAAGCGGCCTCGGCCCAGTATACCGAAGGAGGGTCTCTACCCCCATCATTCAGCACTAAGGTCCAGCTCCAAGGGCCTTCTGGCAGTTCCCTCACTGTGAGAAGTGAGGTTACAGGGAACTAGGCAGAGGGCCTTCTTGATGGTGGCGCCTGCCCTGTGAAACACCCTCCCATCAGATGTCAAGGAAATAAACAACCATCTGATTTTTAGAAGACATCTGAAGGCAGCTTTTAATGGGCAGGGAATAATAATAATAATAATAATAATAATAATAATAATAATAATAATAATAATTACTACTACTCAGGGTTCATTATGCATTATTATTATAAATGATCATCATAATACAACTAATGGATTAATATTATTACTCAGACTGGTTTCATACACTAAACATCAGATAAGTGATGAACAAATATCTCATCCCAGTTTACAGCAGGAAAAGAATTTTTCAAATAGCCATTTACGCAAAACTGAAGAATGAACGAAATAGGAGAGTAAATGAGGCTGAGGCCTTTCACTAGAATGCGCCGATCGGATAAGATTTTAAGAAGTGCTTGTGCATTTACTTTTTAAAATAAAAAATAAAAAGAGCAATACAGGCTTGAGGATGCTATGGCTCAGACTGCTCAGTAACACACAGGTATCTGTGATGCGTTGTCATGCTCATCGGAGAAGATATCTGCAAGGCGGGGGAGACCCTGCTTTTCTCTCTCGTCATTTTCCAGACCAAAATTACCCTTCCCACGCAGGGCAGAGGTGGAAGATAGGGAGAAGTTGTATGCCTTCCTCTCCCTTGCCTCTCAACAGGGGATAAAAACAACTTGGGAAGGTTTTTGTGCTGGAGTTTTCTCCGTGTGGGAGGCAATTTTGAGCTGACAAGGGAATAAAGAAGGAAGGAGAGAGCATCTTCCTTCGCTTCACCCTTCCTGGGAGCCCGCCCATGCTGTTTTGGATTTAAACAACATCAGCAGCGGCATCAACAAAATCCCCAAACCATACAGGGTTTTAAGAATCGCAGGCATTTAGAGCCCCGGCAAGGTGTTTCACCTCCGCCAATAAACCAATAACCCTCAATGCTCTGAGCGGATTTAAGTGCATTAGACAGCTTTAAAAAGCCACACAGATCTCAGCATACCTTGTGCCTTATGTAGGACGACAAATGAGTTTCTGTACAGCCACCACCTAACAGTACCCAGGGGTCGGAGACAGTTAATTGCAAAACATGCTCCGCCGTTTGACAAGCCAGCTAGGAAAGAAGCAAAGGACTTCCTGTTGTTATTGTTCTTTAAGCCGAGGAAGAAAAATCCAGGTGAAAGAAAGAAATGGTTTTAAAGTGGAGGTCTCCTTATGCAACCCATCTAAAACAAAAAGCCATTCGCTCATTGTATTTGCCTCCGCCGACATTTCCTTAAGGAGTTCTGTGTAGCGGACATAAGGCTTATCCCATTCTGTCCACAGAAACCTTGTGAGCCGATTGAGGCTGCGAAGTGCTGACTCGCTCATGTCACCAGCTGAGCAGAGACTTGAACCCAAGACCAACCACAATCGGGAGGCAACACATTGCGGAAGGCTGATTTAGGTGAAAAGTCTCGCTCAGCTGCAGCCGATTTTGCTACCTACGCGAATTAACTCAAGAGACCTCACTCGTAAGCACAATGTTGTGCCTCCCGATAGCATAAGGCAGGCTTCCTCAACCTCGGCCCTCCAGATGTTTTTGGCCTACAACTCCCATGATCCTTAGCTAGCAGGACCAGTCGTCAGGGATGATGGGAATTGTAGTCTCAAAACATCTGGAGGACTGAGGTTGAGGAAGCCTAGCATAAGGCCATTACTGCTTGCAAACTGCCTCCCTTGTTAGCGTAAGCCATGGTGGACTGGCAGATTTCCCCAAACTTAATGATGCGTCCCCTCAATGCTTCTCAAAGCCGATATTTAAAGAGATTACACCTACCCTCAGCTCCTCCCATGCAGTTTCGTTCCTGCTACAGAGCACCAAGCTGCAGACAACCGGGTCGTCAGGGATTAGATGCAAGAACCGCTTTGAAGCAAACGACTCGGCCCGCAAGTCCTTCAGGCGGCCATAGCAAGCAGGGGACAGAAATTGCAAAGAAGGCATCGGCTGAGAACCTGTTCAAATGAGGGGAAGTCACGGCATGCATTAGCTCACAAACATTGAGCGTAGCATTGCATGGAACCGAAGTGAATTCAGCATGTTTCAAAGGCAAAAGTATGAACAGGCCTTTTCTGCAGTGGCTCCCTGTTTGCAGAATGCTCTCCTCAGGTAGGTTTGGCTGGCACTGTCATTAAACACCTTGAGGTGCCAGGCAAAAACTTATTTCAAAATGTAGGGGCAGGCTCATATCATTTTCTATGAAAGGTAAAGGTAAAGGGACCCCTGATCATTAGGTCCACTCACGGAAGACTCTGGGGTTGCGGCGCTCATCTCGCTTTATTGGCCGAGGGAGCCGGCGTACAGCTTCTGGGTCATGTGGCCAGCAAGACTAAGCTGCTTCTGGCGAACCAGAGCAGCGCACGGAAACACCGTTTACCTTCCCACCAGAGCGGTACCTATTTATCTACTTGCACTTTGACGTGCTTTCGAACTGCTAGGTTGGCAGGAGCAGGGACAGAGCAACAGGCGCTCACCCCGTTGCGGGGATTCGAACCGCCGACCTTCTGATCGGCAAGTCCTAGGCTCTGTGGTTTAACCCACAGCGCCACCTGCGTCCCTATCATTTTCTATATGGTTCTCTAATTCTTATTTCCTTCCCCTGGGTTCTAGCTCAGGGATGAGGAACTTCAGGCCAGGGGCATGCAGGCCCCCACCTCTCTTATCTGGTCCTCAGGACCTTCCCAGAGGTCATGCACCCTTCCACCTCCCTCTCCCCAGGCCACCCCCCCCTCATTTGTCCTGCATGGAACCCACAGTGTTTTTGCCTCTAGCTGGGATGCATTTCTCTTCCCTCTTGGTTTTAATGCATCTAAGTGGGGTTTATTGCCTGGGTTTTTTTGGTCTGGTTGTATGTTGCTTCGAGTTAGTGAGGGCTCCTGCTCGCCTGCATGGAGGAGAGGAGTTCTTAGAAACTAGCCTGCTGTACGAAAGGTAACATTCACATTAGTTCCTCTGCCCACAAGGTTGCCCAGAGGGCTGGGCCGAAAAATGTTGCCATCAGTTATATGTGCCACCACGTGCCCTCTTAAGGGGCCACAGTCTAGACCAGTGGTTCCCAACCTTTTTTTGGCCATGCCTCAGCTAAGCATCTCTAAAATCCTGATGCTCCCTTCCTCCCGTGACATATACTTCTCATTATTCAAAAAGTGAACTCCTGTTCACGTGGAGGAAGCCTAAATGTCCATTAACTTGGTCTAAACAAGCTTCCAGATTGCCCCCCTTAAAATCAAATTGCCCCCCTTAAAAATCAAATCACCCCACGTTGGGAACCACGGGGCTAGACGTAGGTTTGCTACGTCTGTGAAAACTACCCCGCTGGCGAGTTCAGGTACAAAAGGGAAATGGATAATGCAAGCAAGTTCTCTCAGAGGCTGAACACCTGCTCACCTTTGATAGCCTAGCCAAATTCTACAAAAACTGGGTTGCATCATCACTGTTTATTCTTATTGCTGTCTATTAAATTTATATACATCGTCGTAGTTAGGCTCTTCAGCAGAGCCAATGAAGAGCCACGTGCACCATTAGCTACATGCCATATATTTGAATGGCGCACCCTCATTAACGAACCAACACATGGGGATGGAAAGTAGCACATCGGAGGAATTGTCACAAGCGAGAATACTGCTTATAACATTACTCTTCGCCGAGAAGCACATCATGAACCTTTCAAGATCGAAAACTCTTTTTAAAGTCTTCATTTTGGCATTTTCACATGATTAAAGGTAAAGGTAAAGGGACCCCTGACCATTAGCTCCAGTCGCGACTGACTCTGGGGTTGCAGCGCTCATCTCACTTTATTGGCCGGGGGAGCCGGCGTACAGCTTCCGGGTCATGTGGCCAGCATGACTAAGCCACTTCTGGCGAACCAGAGCAGCGCACGGAAACGCCGTTTACCTTCCCGCCAGAGCGGTACCTATTTATCTACTTGCACTTTGACGTGCTTTCGAACTGCTAGGTTGGCAGGAGCAGGGACAGAGCAACAGGCGCTCACCCCGTTGCGGGGATTCGAACCGCCGACCTTCTGATCGGCAAGCCCTAGGCTCAGTGGTTTAAACCACAGCGCCACCCACTTCCCCTTTCACATGATTAGAAAATAACAAAAATCTGCTTGTTACCTGTTATTTGCTTCAGCGGCTCCATCATTGCCGCCCCAACTCTTTCTACAGCCACAACCTGTTTCTCCTTCAAGTACTGCTTCAGGGCTGGGTGGATAACTTTTTGGCACACCACAAGGCTCACACCATCGTCTACCATTTGCCTGCCTAAATTAAGCAACTGGCCTAAGACTTCCGCTTGCAGAAACACTCTTTGATGGACAAAGATGGTTCCTTCTCCCGTGTCGGACAAGTCTCCTGATAGGGACAGAGAGAAAAGCGCCATCTTGATTGCGCACGAAGGAGCCGTTCTGACGGGAAGCTCTGTGGTCAGATCCAAGTCGGGTGTTTCAATCAGAAGTCCAGGGTAGACCGCAGAATCCATAGCTCTCCTATCTTTCACAGGTATATAAAGACATTTCCCGAAGGCAACGCTGGTCTCCGTGTTTTGTGGGCTGATGGTCAACACAAAGGCCTTCAGCACCAGAGTGCTGATATGATCTACCTCGTTCCTGCTAAGCATGCAGGCCCGTTTGCTGGTCAGCACACTGCGCACCAACCCGAGAGGGATCTTGGAGCTGCCGAAATCCACTGGCACTCTACAGCCGCATGCTTCGGATGAGAGATAGTCGGTGCACAAGCTCAAAAGGTGCTGGCAGATTTTAATGGAAGTGCATGGAGCAACGTTCAAGGCTCGGATTTTTTCAAGCAGGCTGCAGCAGAGAATGGCCGTGAATAAGCCACAGTCACCGAAAAGCGAGAGGTGACTCTGCACGGAGGCTGTCAGAAGTTTTAGCACCGGGTGGGTGACGCAGAGGCCAGCAAGCAAAGTGAATGACTGTGATGTGGTGCGGACATACCCTCCCATACCATTGTGGAGCTGTTTAAACCTACCTGTGGGGCCATAGCAAGACTTGACTATTTCACTGAACACAGACAGAACACAGCTAATGGCTTCCTTAGTCAAAGGTTCGCTGGTACACAATGAGGACTTTTTAGCATCGAGGCGAGACATTTTTCTCCCCCCAGGTAAGATTCCAGTCAGGACTTACTACACCCCGTATAGTTGTCTCTTCTTCCCGGTACTTATGGAAATGTTAAAAGGAAAAGAAGAAGAAAAAGGATATGTTTCCGTTTCCACAAAGCACATTTAATCAACTATGGAGTCAATGACAAAACAAATGCACACTTGCTATGCTAGCTACCAATGTGAAGATGCAGAGATTGCGTCATTCGTCAAGACCCTTTGATTTGATTTCCAAGTTTGATTTAGCAGAGGACTTTGCGGCTCGTTGAATGAAATAGGTCCCAAGATGGACACCGACAAATGACAGTCCAGCCACAAGGAGCCAGTTTTTCCGAATCCAGCTGATCTTCTTCATCTCTTTTGTTCACGGCCCGAAACTCAAATGAACAAAGTGAAGTGCACCTACAGTTTTAGAAAAAGAGACGGGTGGTGAATGAGGCTGCCGTTAGAGGCACAGTTACTTGTTATTTGTTGTAGATACAATATATTTCAATGAGACCTGCGGGCAAACAGCAGGCCAGCTCAGCAGAATGTGATTATAGCATAATGTGCATTCAAACTGGTTAAAAGACCCTCACAAGTCCTTCCCTGTATAATCGGTTATGCAAGCACAATGCAAAAATCCCATGTTCTTTTAAAATGCTGGGAGAGAGAAACAGTAACCAAAGCAACCAGCCAAGGAAACACCCTAATTTTGACTTGCAGGGCTTCATTTCACCTATAATTTGGCGTACGAAGCAGAAATGTGACCGAAATAATCATGCATTTTCTCAGCTCACATTTTAGCAAGACAATTCACACCAAACGGATCACTCTGCTTATTTTTTTTAACACCGTTGGGGCTCATTTAAAGTCCTATCATGTATTTGACGGGAGGCACATCATGTGATCTGGTATCCGATAACTCTGGCTGCACGAGCAAGGTGTGTGAAATATTGGAAACATCCTGTTTATGTTAGGGAACTGCTACCCCCCCCAAAAAAAACCTAGTGTGAATCTTTAGACACAACACATCCCAGCGACAATATGTTAGGGGGCATGGCTGAATGGTATAGACTTTAACTGTCTCTTCAGGAGCCTGATATGTCATTTTCATTTAATTTTAAATGAAACAGAAAGCCTATTGACCTCTTGAATTTGAGGGGAATTATCAGTTTAATACAGAGCTTGAAGATGAAACTAGGAAAAGTGGAATTCTTCACTGTAAGTGTTGCATCCTTTCTTGGCCAATCAATTCTTTGTCTGCTCCCATATCCTACCCACATTGGTCTCCAACAGGTGCCCCATGAGTCCTTGGCAATGAAATTCTAAATTGGGAGGGGGGGGAGAGCCAGAAGAAAGGAAGCCACAATCCACAACTTCCCACTGCAGCTGAAACCCACACAGCCAACCTTCAGACCAAGGACCAACATCAGAATGCAGCAGAAGGTTCCCGAAATTAACCCATGTGCCCAAGCAGTACTACCAGCATGGCCACAAAGTTCAGACAATGCAGCTGCACACCTTTCCATCATGGCCCAGCCAAACAAGGGAGTAGCAAGAGCACCCACAATTTAACTGCAATTCTTGAAGCAGCTGGAATGAATTTGCTATTCCTGGATTTGCTCTGCCAGTGGCCACCTCTTGGCTGCCTTTACCCATTAGGCTTGTTTTCCTACTGGGGGCCGACGGCCACATCAGTCACACATCACCTTTGACCAATGCTGCACAGTGGTTTGGGTGCTGCCCTGGTGATTACGAGTGTGTGATATGGATCATTGCTGTAAGGATCTGACCTAATAGGCTTACTTATTATTTGTTTGCTTTTGGAATTGGCCCAGCACCCCCTGCCTATGTTAAATGTATGTTTATGAGCCCATTCTTCATCACAACCAATCTCGGATCATGCCACAATTAGGGGAGTCCACAGGAGGAGAGGAAGAGGGCAATGGGATCTTCTAAGCCTCAGCTTTAGCATTTACAGAGATATGAGGCAAAACACACATGCAATATTCTCATATTGCCAGCTCCCCCTTTTAGTGTTCGACACTCTATTCCAGGCATAGGCAAACTCAGCCCTCTAGATGTTTTGGGACTACAACTCCTATCACCCCTAGCTAACAGGACCAGTGGTCAGGGATGATGGGAGTTGTAGTCCCAAAACATCTGGAGGGCCGAGTTTGCCAATGCCTGCTCTATTCTCATCCCCACCCCAATTCCTGCACATCTCATTACAATGCAATTAAAAGAAACACAATTAAAGAGCCCAATGAAGATCTACAGCAGATTTAAAACCAAACCCTAAGACAATGTTTAAGACACACTTGCGCATAAAGACTGCATTTATGTTAATGCGCTATAATCTGTTGGTATAAATTAGCCGAAGGACTGCAGTATTGATGGCAAACCTCTTTCTTTTGTACGTTTACAGAAATGACGGTTTTTATTTTATTTTATTTTTAAAAAACAACCTTAGTAATAATTATTGAAGCTTGCAGACAGGCGGGTTCAGAAAAATTAGGTTAGACATGTGCTTCTATGCATTATGCACGGAGAACCGTATTTGCAGCAGCTCTGCAAAGGCAGCTGGTGAACCGCAGCTGGGATGCTTCACATTCATTACAGATCTGATCAGTGCCCGCATCCCATTTTGCCACCCTGTATGAAAATGTAAACTGATGAAAATTGTCACAGCAGATGAATTCAAGCAACCAGGAAAGCACATCTTTAAAAAGATAAACAGGCGGCGGTGTTGGGGGAATGGCTGCACCTTAAATTTAAAGCAGCAAATCCCATATTCAGACGTACGCCCCACAACCAAGATGAAATAAAAGCAAAAATGAAAGTTCGGATTCTTAAAGAACTCAGTTGCCCACCGCTGATTTAAGTGCTGCTAATCCCGGTGCATTTTCCTGGGTCACGCAGCTGCCTGGTTTTCAGTTAGCAGGAAGAAAAATCAAACCAGGTTTTATTGGGTTTTTCCGTGAAAACAATTTTAGTCATGGAGCTGTACACGACGACGACATTACTTAGCATTATAGACCACTGTCGGGTTTTCAAAGTGCTTCGCATTTTTGCTCTTTACAACAACCCTGTAAGGTAGGGCCTGTGTAATTCTCTCAAGCCCCAGGGAGAACGCCTTGCCTAAGACAACTTAGTGAGCTCAGGGCAGAGATTTAATCTCAACCAAGGACTTCCTGGTTTGTAGCCCAGCCTCGTAATGAAGGAGGTGAGGACAGGTGACCCCACCTAGGCCCAAAGTGTCCCCCCCCCCAAAGCAGGCTCAAAGCTTATCAAAATCATTTTCTCAGCAGCTAAGCATCTGCTCATTTGCTACAAGAAGGCTTCAAAAGCCAATGAATAGACTCTGTCAATGCCAAGAATACTCAGGCCTGAGAACTGACTCTTATCTCATTCGGTTGTAACACATCTTGGACACTCTGAAACCCCCTTGGCTTCTCATCCCTCTTTCCTGGGAAGGGCGCCAAGAGTCCAAAAGAGTCCCAAGACAGGAGCTTTCTGCTCAAGCTCAGGAAACTCACTCATCATTAGGCAGGACTCTTGAGGAGGAGGAGAAAGGGGAGGGAACTCAAAGGGGAATATATGCTCTGTGCAAATGACTGTGAACTCATGCTTATTTGTGAATCTATCACACTTGCTCCTTCTACCAGCCGGATGGTAGAATAAAGCTTTTTATCTGAAACTATTCCTTGAGTGTCTGTTGACTCCCATTTCCCCGTCCCGGGCGCAAAGCTCTTCTCACCTGAGGCTAAAAAGGCTACAGTAGTAACTATCCTATTTAGGGAAGTGGAGCAGATTTGCTTCCAAATATTCTTTCTAAACCCACCTCTCTTATTGACTGACTTTCAGCAAATTGCTAGCGTAAAATCTGTGCCTGTCCTCAACAGGCAGAGCCAAGGACTGTCTATTACGGACCACTGCTGTTCTGGGCACGGGAAGAGGCTCTGGATTGTAGAGCTGCAGGAAAAGGGAACGATTTCTATAATTCTGCTGCAATACAAGATTCTCTTTTATTTGCATTGCCTTAATGGTTTTGTTCTTGCTGCAGCAGGAACTTACCTTTCAATTTTTCCACAGCACCGTTATTGGCTATTTTTTTTACTTTTGCTGTCCTGTTGCAGTACGTATGTCACAAGGCCAGGGTCAGGGACAGTGTCCTCACTCTTTGGCTGGAACATAGGATTGGATTTGATGTTATACCAGCCCCAGTGTATCAACGCAAGGCTAGGTCCCATAACAAGCAAAACTTTGTAGTTCTTCCAAATGGTTTTAATGCCCATAGCGTGTCTGGCTGCTACCTATGTAAAGAACAGGAAAATTTGAAATACGTTCTACTGAACACAATTTAAACACGCATGCACCCTCATACCCCAACAGTAATAATTGTGCAATCAAGCAAAGACTGAACATTTGCATTTGGGTAGCATGATCCTAATGATATTTTCTCAGAAATAAGCCCCACAAATTTAAGGAGTACAGTCGTACCTTGGTTGTCAAACGGAATCTGTTCCGGAAGTCCGTTCGACTTCCGAAAACATTTGACAACCAAGACGCGGCTTCCGATTGGCTGCAGGAGCTTCCTGCATGCGTAAGCCACGTTGGATGTTTGGCTTCCAAAGAATGTTTGCAAACCAGAACACTCATTTCTGGGTTTGCAGCGTTCGGGAGCGAAAAGGTTACAGTCCTAAGGCATTCAGCTTCCAAGGTACGACTGTACTTGTTTCCAAGGACATGCCATCTAGCCATAATCTTACAGCAATTTTATTTTCGATTCATGTTTGGAGAAAACCTGTGCTTTCCCCCCCACACTTCCCTCCCTAAGTTCTGTGCCCATTAAATAATGAAATCCTTAACTACTTGCAGCACAAGATCAGAGTCTGGATAGCTCGGTTGGTTAGAGCATGGTACTGATAATTCCAAGGTCGCAGGTTTGATCCCCGTATGGGACAGCTGCAGATTGCTGAATTCTAGGGGGTTGGACTAGATGATCCTCAGGGTCCCTTCCAACTCCACAATTATATGATTCTATGTGGGGGTGCAGGGACGCGGGTGGCGCTGTGGGTAAAAGCCTCATAACCTAGGGCTTGCCAATCGAAAGGTCGGCGGTTCGAATCCCCGCGGCGGGGTGCGCTCCCGTTGCTCGGTCCCAGCGCCTGCCAACCTAGCAGTTCGAAAGCACCCCCGGGTGCAAGTAGATAAATAGGGACCGCTTACCAGCGGGAAGGTAAACGGCGTTTCCGTGTGCTGCGCTGGCTCGCCAGATGCAGCTTTGTCACGCTGGCCACGTGACCCGGAAGTGTCTCCGGACAGCGCTGGCCCCTGGCCTCTTGAGTGAGATGGGCGCACAACCCCAGAGTCTGTCAAGACTGGCCCGTACGGGCAGGGGTACCTTTACCTTTACC